CACACACACACACACACACACACACACACACACACACACACACACACCTCTTCACTTCTCGTTTTTAAATCTCTTTTAAAAACACCTGTTTTCACTGACTTTTAACACAGTGTGATTTGATTATTTCATTGTTTTGTATTTCATGTTTTCCTTTTGATGCTTTTAATTAATTTTTGCTACCATTATTATTATTATTATCTTAATATAACTGCCATTTCTTTTTATTGTTAAGCACTTTGGTAATAGCTGCTGTATTTAATGTACTTTATAAATACATTTGACTTGACTAGTTATAATCAGTTAATATAAATGTGAAAGGGTAAGAAGCAGATGACTCCCAAAGGGCTTGAATCAGAATCATTTTGTCTTGTTACAACGAGAGTGCTCTGCTAAAAAAAAAAAAACATATAAATAAAAGGCATGTACTTCTTTAATCACCATTTGGCAGCATTTAGTAGGCTGATGGCTGAGGGGTAGTAACTATTTATGACCCAGTTCTGGTCTTAATATTTCTTTAAGGTCTGCCTGATGGCAGCAGCTCAAACAGTTTGTAACCAGGGTCACAGGAAATCCTTTCAGCTCTCTTTATTAAAAATAAAAGTATTCAAACCCCTTGAACTTCTGCACATTTTGTCATATTACAACCACAAATTTCAAAGTATTTTAAAGTGTCTTTATGTTAGACAACACAAAGTAGTTCAGTAATGGCTTACAGATCTTTTGCAAATAATTCCTGACCAGTCTGCTGCATTCCTTGGTCTTCATGATGCTGTTTGATCGCCAATGGTCAGTGGTAAACTTCTGATACCTTCAGAGAACAGCTGCATTATAGTACTATATAATAAAAGATGTGTTCCAATCATGTAGATGTTCTTTGCAATACAGACTGAAAATGTCTCCGTGTGAGAAATAATAAAATTAAATTAAAAATCCTCATTTCCCTCCCAAGTCTACCTCAACAGAATGAGTCCGCCTCAGCCGAAGTCTTGGGTGGATTATGAAACAACTTGCCTCTAGGCACCGACATGGAAAATAAAAGAAGAATACTGTTCCATCAAAATGAAAAAACACCCACACTGAAATGTACACCGCCTGCCAAAATATAAAAAAAACAAGAATTACTGTGATTTAACCCTGAAAATCTGCCTCTGTAACACAAATATTTGTAAAAAAAAAAAAAAAAAACTTTTATTGCTGCGTTAGCCTCTCTCATTCACAAATTGTGTGCTTGGTCAAATACTTCCCAGACTACAGATTTATTTATTTTTAGTTCATCATATTGACAGAAATGTTAGAAACAACGACGCAGCGACCTTTTCCCGCACAAACTACAACAACCGAAGGCTCAGCGTTCCTCGAAGCCGTTCATGCCAGATGTTTTAGACTAAGATAATCCACGGAGGAGGAGTGGGATTTAAAAGATTTTGTGCAAAAATGTGAAAACTCGTGATGAATTGTCACTCAGGTCATGCGCTGAGCATGACTCTCAGCTACTACTACCACACCAAATGTAACTTTTATTGTCATGGCCTTTTTGTGTTGGCTGTGGCGGCCATCTTGACATGAGTTGACTCCAAATGGTAATGAGTTTCAGATCATGAATCTGTCCAGCAGTTTATGAGATATTTTACTAACAGACAGTAAAACTGTGCGTAGTTCAGAGTATGTGTTGTGAATCATCTTAACATCTTATGTTTGTGTAAAATAGCCGAGTTAAAGTCACTTTGGTTGTTGCTAAGGCTGCGTAGCTGTGGTGGCCATCTTGAATAAGGTCGACTTGAGGTCAAAGGAACATTTTACAAGTTAGGGAGACCAGACTGAGATGGTTTGGACATGTCCAGAGGAGGGACAGTGGGTATACTGGTAGAAGGATGTTGTATAGCAAATCTGAAATTCTGTTGTATTTACCTTGTGGTCATTTTAGTTTCATTTTCTGTCTTTAAAAATGTTGTCTTGTGATCAGTCATTGTAATTTTTGGACAATTTGTCATCTTTTTCTTTTTTTTTTAAATGTCTTTTGTCTATTTTTGTCGTCTTAAGTCTCTAAAATGCGACGACTTTGCAGCTGTTTCGCTGTGTTTGAGGTCGTTGTAATTTTGTTGTGGTTTTTAATCTCTTTCACGTTGTTTTTCTTCATGGTAACATTTTATTTATGCTGTTTTCACATCATCTCATGAGGACTTTTGTATCTTTTTTTTTTTTTTTACTTTTCTAGGTCATGCTCTTGTGACAAGTTGACCTCTTCTTCCCTCAAAATGAAATTAGTTTGTCTTATTGCTACGATCATTCAATGTGTTTATTCTCCCACTCATAAATAGCAGGTTTGCAGGTTCATTCATGTATTTTTATATAACAACCTGTCAAAAAATACCAATAATTCCCATTTTTTGTTCACTTTATATCATTATATTGCTTTTAATAGCAGCTTTGTGACAAGTTATATAAATAAGTCTTGACTAATAGTAGATTACAGATGCTGTGAGTTTAATTACTGAGAACATGTGTTTTGGAAGCAAAAGGAGGAACTGTTCCTGCAGCAGTTCTGCTCAGTCGCTCTCATTAATCTTCACATATTGTGAGCAGCTTGATGTTCGTAAATAAAACCAATCAATGATTCAATGTGACCAAAAATACATAAATAAAAAGTTCCAGGTTTTACTTTTAGACGGTCATAATTTTCATGCTAATAGGGGAATGTGAAGATGGAGCGCATCGGATTCCACTGCATAAATATGAGCACCTGTTCGGCTCGTCAGGATGAAGCCCTGCAGGCGTGATGAAACGCACAGCTGGGTCTGATGCAGCCGAAGGATCCTGAACGTGTTACATCAGCTCACGGCTGAATGTCTTCACGCTCAGGAGGAGGAAGCAGGAACAGTTGGGAGGATTGTTTTTGTCAAACTGTAATATTCATAAACTGGTTCGCTGAATTTCTGATTGTTCCAGAAGTGTTTAGGTTACAACAGGAAGCAGTGAAATGGTCAAAGGTGTCTGAAAACATGATTTCATCCAGGCGATTTTTTAAAAAACAATAATTTTATGCTTAAATAAAAATGTTAGGTGCCTGATATTTAAGACATTTGGCATAATACATATGATTTTACATATTTTGTCACATAACGGGCCTATTTTCTTTCATATATGGCACAACCACAGTGAAGCAGGAAGTGACATCAAAGGGGAACTTTTTAAATATGGGGAACTTCCTGATCTTTTTAATTGAAATAATATGATTTGAACTCCGACTCGTCTTTGTCTCTCTCTGATGGTGTCTCTAAAAAATCATAATAATAATATTAAAACCAGATTCTTCTCCACTGTAGCGGTGCTCTGTTTACATGCAGGCGTTCCTCTTTGACATCACTTCCTGTTACTGCACATGAGAAGATCCCAACAACGGTTCATCTCAGTGGCGTGAAATTTATTTTGCAATACCTTATTAATGCTATCTTTCCAAAAACGCATTCATATTTATTACAAAAAAAAAACTGATGTTGCTGGCACTTTAAGGGTTGTTTACCTTTTATCGCACCCTTTACACAAACTTAACAGCGCTGGAAAATATTTTTGTATGAATCTTCTTTTTATTTTATTTTTCCAGATTTTCTAAATAGTCAAATATACAATTAATTAAAATTTTAACATGAAAGATCTAGCATTAAATGAAGAAATGTGTTTCACTCATGTCAGAGTTTTAAAGTTGAATCATTTTATGCTGCAAAGGGATGGAGTTATAACAGTTTAACAACCTCGTAAATGATATTATACATAATCCTGTGATGTAAGATCTTATAAGATGTAACAACCCTCAGAGTTTGTCTTGTGATTGACTCTCAGCTACTACCACACCAGATTTTATCTCATTATCTGTAAAACTGACTGAGCAATAGTCATTTTGTGATTGTGGCAGCCATCTTCAATTGTGTTGACTCAAAAACGTATCGTTGTCGATGTACAGCCACAGATTACCGTCTGAAAACTAAAGTACTAAAGAAATGTATTTATAATAGTACATTATTACGCCAACAAATGTTATAAGTCATAAACAGTTTACACAATGTTTAACCTTTAAAACGTGACATTTAGTTTTTGTTTGTTTGTATTTGCTTATTTTGGCAGTTTCAGTCCTCCATATATAGGGCAATTAATAACTTTTCTACTTTTACTGATAAATAAATTTCAGTTTTGTCCGAGTTTTGTTGAAATAAATAAAAAATACTTCAAATGACTGAAAAGAAAACAAACGTTTGTATTAATTTTCAACCAATCGGTCAAAATTGCCAAATGTCCTCAGACAAAACTTGAGTTTTTTTGTAATTTCCACCTTAAATGTGCAAACTGTCATGGAGGCAGTTTCACTTTAGTCCTCTTCAAATGGATTAGAGTCAAACTGAAATACGTTTTGATCAGAGAGCAATGATGCATGAGAGAGAGATATTTAAATGTAGAGATTTTCCACTGTCAATATTTTATATTTATTATTAAAAGTCATCTCTAAAAAAAAGGATTTGATTAAAGCTCATTTCTTTGCAGTGAAAACCAGTTGGGCCTCCGTCAGCATGTGAATGTGGCTGTCAGCAGAACATGCGGTGCAAAGCTACGTTCTGATTACGAGTTTGATTTTTTTTGACAGGGTTGGTTTGTTTCAGTCGATATCAAGGACGGAGCCGTATTTTAATGAAGCTGTGAGGAGATTTGAATGATCTTGCAGGAAAATCAGCCTGTGTGTTAGGATAAATCTCTGCTTCGTTGTGAAATATCGAGTTTTTCTGATTATCTGTGCTTTTTGATCAACCTTTGTTAAAACCTGCCTGATTTTTGCCATTCTCGCCTTCTTTTTCTTCTCAGGAAAATCTCAAACTCCTGGCTGAGCACAGGCTGGTTCACGATGACCATCGCCCTGGAGCTGTGCGACCGGATCAACGTGTACGGCATGGTGGCCCCCGACTTCTGCAGGTCAGACGGTGGGGCTGAATGTAAACGACAGCAGCAAGCGTTTTCAGGCGGCCGCTTCAAAAATTCATGGCAGCACAAGAGCCTGATGAGAAAGATTAAAATTGGAAGAAAAAAAAAAAGAAATCAGGCAGCTGATAATAGATTTCAGAGGCAGGAGCTGTTTGTGGAATGCTTAAATTGACACCATGCTGGTGGACTACAAATAATACGCTGAAAATACTCGAGACGTAGAAAGAAAAGGTCTAAACCTCAGTTTTAGTCACAGAAACATCACTTCAGATAAAACCAAACTGTCTGATAAATATCGAAAGGCCTAGCATCCCTAGAAGGAATGCATATCGCCCGCTGCCTCTCTTTTAGATCGTTAATGTTGAAAAAAGATGTTTTATTCAACCTTGATGAAAATGATGCATCTACAGATGTCACCCTCAGAGCATGATGACGACTCAGGTGCCACTGCATCAGAACAGAGCTAAATATTTGTGAAACTAAATTATAGCCATTTTGTGTCGGATGACGTCGATTAGCTGTGGAGACCATCGTGATTTGACTCGATTCCCAAATCAGTTTTAGACGTACATCTTGTTACTCCCTGGAAGTTTTATCCATTTGTCCAGTGGTTCATGAGATATTTTGCTAACAAACCGGGTTCACTCCAACAGGTAGCGCTAATGTTTTTATTAAAAATCTTGTGCGATGAGTACCGTATTTTCCGGCGTATAAGTCGCAGTCTGTTGCATAAATTTGCAGGTTCTGCGACTTATATACGTTTTTTTTCATATTCATGATGCAATTTTTGACTGAGTCTTGAAATGTTCATTCATTCTGACATGAACCAGAGGAAACATCACCATTTGCAGCCACTAGAGGCACGAGAAGGCTCCGCGGCGGTGCGCCACCCATCCATCCATCCATCCATCCATTCATTGCAGCTCTGGCTGTGAGCTCTACAGTGATTCTCCACCGCTGGAGCGAGGAGGAAGTGAGCAGTGAGGCGTGTGATCCGCGGCCCTGGGAAGCAGCGAGGTGTGGGCTGGGGGGACGCTATAAAGCCACGAGCCACATTCATCCCCACTCCAGCGGCGGAGCAGGGAGGGACACCTGGACTCAGAACAGCTTCATTTCACCGCGCTGCTCAGGCGAAATGAAGCTGTTCTGACCATTAAAGTGCATTTATTAAGGAAAAGTTAAACTGAGACACACTTTGCTATGATGTCAAGCAAAATAATTGTTTTTAAATGTTAATTTTGTTAAATTTCAAAGAACTGCAACAGCGAGTCCTCCCGTGTGCGCTCACTTCACTCAGCTGGTGCAGGCGGAGGAACGCTGGAGAGCTAGCGGCTCCGGCTGCGATGGATGGATGGATGGTGCCGCACCGCCCAGGCGAAATGAAGCTATTTTGACCTTTAAATAAATGCATAATAAGTCAGCGGGTCAGCCGTGACGCATAATAAATGCGACTTATATGCTGGAAAATACGGTACTTCTTGGAGTATGTGGCGTGAAACCGTCGGACGTTCGCAACAAGTTGTAGCTCAGCATCTGTAAAACTGAGTTCTAGCTGTTTTTTTTTTAATTTATTTCAAAGACAGTTGGCTTTGGCGGCCATCTTGAAAAGAGTTCATCAATTGTAGATGTGTATCCAAGAACTACTTTGATTACTGTCCAGTGATTCGTGAGATGTTTTAATGAAAACGGATGAAAACACAGATGCTGCCTCCTGCCTTGGACCGTGGGTGACAACCAGAGGCTGTTTGTTAACAACTTCTCTGCATCTTTTTCTGTCAGAAATCTGTGAAGTTCATTGACTGACCAACGGTTTGTGTTGAAACATTTTTATTTAGTTTTTGCACATTTCAGCCTTCCCCACAGCTTTGAATGTTTTATTGGCTGCAGTGTGGCAGCAATAAACAGGAAAACCCAACAGCTGCAGGAGGAGGATCCTGGTTCGTCAGTCTAAAGTCAGTTTGATGAACCTTTTTTGTCTTTCACACACACAAACGCACATTTTCAAACACTGATTCGTGAACCGGAACGTGCATGAAAGATGCAGCCCAAAGGTTGGCCTTTTTTAAAAGTAGGTTTTCAAGGTGAGACGACGAGATGAGATATTAAAACTTTATTAAATCTCTATCTTGAGCTGTAGATCTGGTCAGGACAAGACACAAATAATACTTTTCTTCTCCCGCTGTCAAATTATAACATGCAGCATTTTTTTTATGTTTGCACTTTCCATGAGAAACTTAAAATATTGGATTCCTTTTTTTGTTGTTAATTTTACACTTAAATGGTGTTAAAATTATAAAACTGTTCAGATGCTTTCAGGGAATGACCCTTTGGTGAAATAAAATTTAATAAGATTGGTGCAAATTATGGAGAAATAAAACATAAATATAAAACGATAAAAGAAAATGCACATCATCACGGTCAGGCCTTAAAAATTATCTAAAAATGCTACTTTTAAGAAAAGAAGGTAAAATACGCTTTGTTTTATAAAAATGTTGCTGAATGGAGGTTTTTTTCTTGGATAGTTATTCATAAAACCAAATAGAAATTCTAGGGTTTTGTTCAGTGACAACATCCAGGTCACCAGAAAGTTTATTTATTACAAAAATATGATGAAATGTTTTGAAAAGCTGAATGTGGAATTAGGGTTCATTCTGCCAAACTGAACTTATAAAGCATCCCTGAGCTGTTTCTATGAAGAAATAAAATTATATATTTGAAACTTCAAGATTATTTTCATGTTTTCTTTCCTTCTTTCTTAAAAGTAGCTGCATATTTGCAAAAAAATACTTTACAAACAAGGCACCAAGGCCAAAATGGTAAAAGGTTTGTAAATTCAATCATCCAGGTAACCTTAATGAACTTAGCCTTGGTGGGGAGTGGTGGCGCAGAGGTTAGAAGATGGGCCTGTGATCGGAAAGTCGCAGGTTCAATTCCCGGTACTGTCAACATCAAAATGTGGGTGGAAAAGGTGGAACACCCACACCTGCCTCCACCCTCATTCGCCCCACTCTGGGCCCCTGAGCAAAGCCCTCAACCCCCATCCACTCCTAAACAGGTCTCTCTTGAAAATGAGTTCTCGTGGCTCAATGAGACTACCTGGATAAATAAAGGATAAATGAAAAAACAAGGTAATCCAGGTTTAACCTTTTTTGTTATCTCCCTGAATGATTGAGCTTACACATACTTTACAAACTAATCAAAGCAAAAAAGAACAATTTTAATACCCAATAGAACCACTAAGGAGCCCAGACTGTAGTGAAAAACATGAAAAGGTGTCCTGAACGACTTTGTGCGTTCAGTTTGGACTCCTAGTTGCTGCAGCTCTGCGCTGCAGACCTCTGCACACAGAAACAGCCGTACTGGCGGCTTCACGCTGATGAAAAGCCCTGATTTCTGACTCCGCTCGGCCCGTGGCAACCAGCCTCGTTAGCAGCCTTTAATGATTTGATTCACAGCTCACGTCTCGCTCGTCTCCGCTCGCTCTTTAACTGGAGGATTTCATCGAACCAGGAACACGACTTATTAAGTCTCTCAAAAAACGAACAAACTGTTCAAAGTCCAGTACATCCTCGAGCTGAGCTCTGATCGATGAGGGAAGAATTTTTTAGTTTGGGTCCACAGGTCTCGACGGCCGTAAAAATAAATGCTGCTTATTCTTTTGAGAAATCACTTGTCGATTCTTAGCAGTGCTTTTGGTTTTCATGGCAACGAGTCTAGATTTGACCGAGTCAACCTTCTGTGGATATAAGAACATTTTTCTAATTTGATGTTTATGCTTCACAACACAAAAGATAAACGAAAGACTAAAGCAGAAACAATCAATTTTGTGTTTGGACTCAGAGCACTCGTTTTTATTGATGTTTACTCTTTCATCACGCTGGGGCTGCGGTAGCTTGGTGGTCAGTGCTGCCATTTTGCAATCCTGAGGTTGCCGGTTTGAACCCAGGAAGGGTATCCGATGTAAAGCAATTGTCAAATCCTTCATGTTTGCTTGCTGAAGAAGGGCACAACCAAAAGAAAAACTACTTTATAACATTAATGTTGATTACGTTCCCTTCCCAAGTAAAACAGCTTTCCTGCTTGCTCTCGGTGAAGGCGAACGCTTTTCCCTCCCGCTCCTGCTCTTTGTCCTGTGAAACTTATCAGAGCCTCTCTTTACATATCTTCCAAATTGTAAATTAGGGATCTGGTCAGCTGGTCGCAATTAATAAAATTTTCTCGACAAGAAGACAGGGTGAAGGGAGAGCCCTCTTGCCCTGACGGGACACTTGCAGCCGGATACACGATGGAAGATGGTGTCTGTCTGTATTGTCCGTTGAGGATCTAGATGACGCGCAAATAATTGGATTTATGATAACAAGATTTCTGCTTTTTGGAGTTGGTGGTTACCTGGTATATCGACAAATATGGAAAACGTTGGCAGCTGTTCTGCTCATTGTAAGGCTGCCTGCCTTGTGTGAGGGAATGTGCCGTGCTGTGAGCACTCAGACTCGGATGCTGTGTGAGCTGAGCCGTAAGCTGGATGCAGTTTTTGAGAATCGCAGGCCATTTGCAGCTCCTGAAACTCACTGGTGAGAAGGAATTGACTTTGGAGAAGCTACAAGCTCGGCCCGGCAGCGCTGACCACAAAATTTGACTTTTTGGAGTCACCATCAAGACGTACCAGTAGAACTATAAGGCAGACAGAAATCAAGCAGAGTATGCCTGACTCAAAATAACTTATCTGAATGTGTCTCCCCCGTGTCGGCCTTGAATTGACCATTTCAAACTCTCCTGGATGTTATGTGAACAGAAGCTCTGCCCCCCCCCCCCCCCCCCATCCCCGCTCCCTTCCCGAGGACATCTGTGGACCTGTATCAGAGCTGAGCTGGCTGATAGACACTGCAACATCTCTTATAAGGACTATGGAACCACCTGTCAGTGTCCACGGACAAACTCACCGCCTTTGTCGGCCTCCTCATGCATATATTTATCATGATGTCATCAGCATGTTGCTGTTTCTGTGCTGAGGTTGTTGTTTTTTTGCAACTTTCACATTGTGTCCCGTCTAGGACACAGTGCAAGATACTTTTTTTATACTCCCCTTCCCTCGTGTTTCTCTTTACCTATCTGAAAAAGGCAGTGCCTTTCATGGGGCTGCGACCACAGACACCTCCGTCCGCCCCATTTCTGTTTATTTATGTTTTACTCGAATGGGCTGTACTGAAATGTAATGTTGTTGTGCTTCAGTGCAATGACAATAAAGCTGATTCTGATAAAACACAGTCATGTCTTGGCCTTAATTCTCACCCGCTGGTCAGACGTATAATTTTCTGCTGCAAAACCTTTTATTATGATGCATTTTGTTCCAGTTTCAGCATTAATTTAGTTGTTTTTTTCCTATTTCACTGCTAGAGTAAACACAAACGCTAGGGAATGTGTGCAGCTGAGTAACTATAGTTACAACTTATTTTAACTACTGTATATAAAGAAAATCAAATTAAGTCAAGATATGTGAACAAAAGCCACAATGGTTGTGATTTTTAATGGAAAATAAACATGCAGCGAACAATTGTTTCCCAAATCAAAAAGAATTGGTTTGAAAATCTCTCCGGTCCTGCGCCCGTATCATAAATTTACATCTCAAACCGAAGAGCACAAACATCTGCATTTATAAGAAAACCAAGACTATTCGCTGGCTGCACACACACAAACACACACACCTTGTTGAGAGTGTGAATATTGTTGTCTTGACAGCTGGATCACTTCACAAGATCAGTCTTGGTGTCTAAAATCTGTTTAAATGCAATTTGGGGGTCTGAGGACTGGCTGAGCGCCCAGCAGGGCCCGAAGAGCCACTTAAAACCGAAACATGAACAATTACAGGAAGTGGAAAATATGAGATGAGATGATGATTAATTTATGACAATGTTGCTGAAAATGTTGAAAACTGACAGCCGACAAAATGCTTTATGAATATTTAAAAAACATTTTGACTCAAACAGAAATCTTTTGACAATTATTAGCTTTGGATTAATCCCCGTCCGTTTGACTAAAAATAACAAAAAACCTATAGAATATATAACAAATGGTTTTGCGTTATAAGGATGAGTTTTTTTATTTAAAAAGGTTCAGAGTGTGTGCCTGTAATAAAGTGATGTTTGTTTTTATCCCCTTTTTAAGCTAAAGATGCCCAAATGTGATTAAAAATGTCTTCAGCTTCGTGTGAAGGTCGAGGCGAGTTCCTTCACACGAAGAGTCTGAGGGGAAAGTGAGAGGCCGTAAAGTATTGCTGCTTATGTAGACTACTAAACATAAAGAACACTTCTGCATGTTTCTTTTATTATTGTTATTCTGTGCTTCAAACTTTAACGTTCATTTATAAGAAAAACGACAAAATACAATAATTGTGTCTTTTAGCAAAATATCTCATAAACCAGTGAACACATTTCAATGAAAGTTGAGGAAATATTCACTGAATGTACATCTTTTTCTCAAGTCACCTTCATTCAACATGGCTGCCAGAGCTTAGACTATAGTTCAATCAACTTTACAGATACTGAGGTCAAACTGTGTGTAGTGGTAGCTGACAGTCATTCACAACACAGAATTAGAGGGTTAATCGTACAAGATCTTTGCTTAAAACTTTAGTATTTATTATGGTCATCAACTGTCTGTTAGAAAAAAATCTTATGAAACGCTGGACATATTTTACTTAAACTTTAAGCGAGTAATCACTGGGTGTACATCTAAAATTAATTTTTGGAGTCAAACCCATTAAAGATGGCCGCACCAGCTAATCAACATTAGCCAACACAAAACAAGATGTCAGTCAGTTTTACACGTCTTGATATCTAGTGTGATGTGGTTGTAGCTGAGAGTCATTCACAACACGCACTCTGAGCGCGACATTGTGTGTTATCACGAGATAATTTTATTTTTTTAGGTTTGGTGATCTGTCATTTCTCAGCATGAGATGATTTTAGTTGAAAAGCAGTGGGGGGGTTATGCATTCCTTCAAGGAAAGACATGTCTTTGTGTTTAGTTTAAATAATAATTAGTGCAACTGCAGTGTGACTGCTTATTGCAGAAGAACTTGCTGAAAAACAGCTGAAATTAGCTAAAAACAAGCCGAATCGTGGCTGAATGGAAGAACAAGCCTAAATTAACAGAAGAAAGCAGAACACATTTTGATGAATTAGGTATAAATTAGCAGAAATTAGCACAAAAAAGGAAATCAACAAAAAAAATGTCTGAAGTTAGCAAAATATTGCTGAAAAGCAGCTGAAAAGGCAGAAAGTAGCTTTAACTTTAAGAAGAAAGCGGAAAGAAATGAAATTAGCTAAAAAATGTGGAATTAGCTGAAAAGGATAAAAATAGTATAAAACAGCCAAATAGCAGCTGGAATAGCAGAAAAAGCTGAACTAACAGAAAAAAGCTAAAAGGAGCATAACAAGCTGAAATGATTAAAAAAAATAAGTTAATTAGGTTGAAAGTAGCAAAAATTACCTTGAAAAACTTTAATTTTTCTGAAAACAGCTGAAATTAGATTAAAAAAAAACGCAAGCTCTAAAAATAGCTAAAAAAAGGTAGCTGAAAAAGTGAACAAGCTTAAATTAGCAGAACATCGCAGAAAGATCACGTTTGCCCGGCTGAAAGAAGCAGAAATGAGCATCTCAAAAAGGGGAGATTATCCAAAAGAAGTTGAAATGAGCAGAAAAAAAAAAACAAAAAAAAAAAAAAAAAAAGAAACAGCTGAAAAGCAGAAAAACAATTCAGAGAAGCTTAAATTACTAGAAGTGGAGAGAGTACAGTTTTGCTGAATTAGGCTGAAAAAAGTTGAAATTAATGCAAAAAATGTGGAATTAGATGAAAAAGCTAAAATAAGCATAAAACAGCTAAATAGTAGCTGAAATAGCAGAAAAAGCTAAAGCTTGTAAAAAATAAACTGAGAAACATAAGCTGAAATTAGCAGAAAGGAGTGAAAAGCACAAAAATGTAATTCGCAGAAAGAATCTGAAATGAGCACAAAACAGCTGAAATAACTGCTGAAATTAGCTGAAAATAGCTGAAATGTTTTTTAATTTGCACAAGGAAGCTGAAAGAAGCTGAACCAGAACAAAATGTGAAAGGATCAGTAAAAGGTTGTAAACAGATCTAAAGGTTTGAAGGAGGTCAAATGAGCTCAATTCATTATCTACAAGAAAGAAATGACAGAAAAGGCTAAATATTTCAAAAAGCTAAAGTTGCACCAACACCAAAAGTCATAGCAGGATTGTTCTGAAAGAGCTGAACTTTTTTATATGCGAATTGTTGAAATAGCACAAAAATTGTGGAACAATAAAGATGCTGAAAAAACACATACGGAAGAAAAATGGATCTCGACAGAGTGAATGCTTCATAAAAGGTCACACAATAAACATTTCCTAACAAAAAAACATTAGATTGTTCTTCCAGATATAGATTACTCGTAGTTTTATTATCATTTTTAATAATATTGTCTTTGAGTTCTAATTCTCTAGCTTGTTTTATCACATGTAGCTCCATAACATAATTTTTATCCCCCACCCACCCCTGGCGTGAATCAGAATCTGATAAATCTGCAGTTACCGTCAGACTGAAACATGAAACAAGACGTGGTTTTATTCAATGCCATGGAATCAGACCTTACAGGCTGCATTATGATTCCTTCACATATCCTGCGTGCACACTGACCTCCTCGGGTTGCAGGAGGTCTAATGGCACCAACATCAGCTGGATTTAGACGCTGTTTTATTCCAAAACCCACAGCAGGATGCCTCTTATCTTGAAATAAAAACTCTTCATGGTGTCACATAAATCACAAGCAGCTCATTAAAATGTGTTTAAATGTTTCATCTTTCCGTTCGTGTGTCTGCAGGGAGCCCCAGCACCAGTCCATCCCCTACCACTACTACGAGCCACGTGGTCCTGACGAGTGCGCCATGTACATCTCCCACGAGCGCGGAAAGCGCGGGAGCCACCACCGCTTCATCACGGAGAAGCGGGTATTCGCCAACTGGGCGCGGACGTTTGATATCCACTTCTATCAGCCGGACTGGAGCCCGCCGCCTCTCCCAGCCAACCGGACGCTGGAAGGGACCACCCCCGCAGCTCCCAGGAATACGTGACTCGCGCTGAAAAATGACAAAAACACTTTAAAGATGAGCCTCAGAAGGACGAAGGACGGGGAGCACTGGCCTCGAGGAGCTACCAGACCTCAAAGAGAGCCTTGATCCTGCAGCTCCGACCAGCGTTTTGTTAACGAAGGGTGGTGAACCGGCGCAGAGCTGTTTGAAAACCTTGTTGAGTGAGGTTCGTACACGAAGGCAGGATCATCAAACACTTTCTCGAGGCATGCATGCAGTGTGTTACTGTGGACCCTGCTGGTGTTTGTGCATATGTGAATGTGTTCACCAGAAGGATCAGAGAGGATACAAACTAGAGCTCAGTTTTTCCAACAAGTCTGTGTTGGATTAAAAAATAAAATCCACACAGAATTCACCAATAATGCAGAAATATACCATTAAAAGAACCTGAAATCAGCTCTGGAGACAACGTAGGCAGAATGTGTTAGATTTGACTGAAGGTGTGAATCATTAAGTCAAATGTCACAATTTTTAAACTATCAAGAGATTCTGTAAACGCTTATCTCGTGTAACAAAAGGCCCAGTCCATTTCAAAGCAGTTAAATAAATTACTCACCCGACTTCCACGTCTTCTGCCTTCGAGATGTGTGCACTGTGAGCTCAGCCGAGTCAAAGTTTGCACTGCAGCACAGCCAGGATGATTGACAGGTGGGCAACAGTCTCCGGGATGTTTTCTCTTGTGCGCGCACGTCTTCCAGCTCTGGGCGTTATCATAAGTCTTCGTTGGCTCCTGTCAGTGGCTAATAGTGCAATTTATTTAACTACAAGCTGAATTTCCATGTAAAAGCTCAGCCATGTCACCGAAGACAAGTGTGAGATGAAGATGGAGAGCAGGAGAGCAGCAGCATCCATTCTACTATATTCATCTGCTGCTGAGCCATTCACCTTTCAGCGAGATGACATAGTTTAGAAAAACATGTTTTTTTTTGTTCAACTGTGATTTGTCTCTCCTGCTCTGAACCGTGTTTTATGAGCTACATGTGGACTCCCCCTCCTAATTCTCCTTTCATGAATAAAAATCAGGTGTCAGTCAGTAAAAAAAGTGATGACACGGCTATTTTAATGGATACACGCTGTAGCCGAGCCCCCATTGATTTTCCCCACATCCTTTTAGCATGAGTAATGGGACATCAGAAGCTGTAGATCAAATACATAAGTGCTCACGCCACAGCTTCACGGTTCAAATCATGTGATGCTTCTCGCGCTGAACAGATTACCTTACTCCAACTCCTGCTGGTTTTGAACCATGACACGTTATGACAATGCATCTGAGAAGCACTGGGTCTAATGAAGGTGAGTATCAAAGTACTAATTAAATAGTAATTTCTGATTAAATGTAGTGAATAGATAGAAAATTTACCTGCAGTAGAGTAGTCCGAGTCGTTTTAGAGGCCATCCACATGAGAACGTTTATTTTATTTATTTTTTGTCCTTTCTGAATTCCACGATCATCTCCTTCGTCTTCTTCACATCGATGTGAAGGTTGTTCTTCCTGCACCAGCTCTCCAGGTGTTCCACCTCCTGCCTGTAGCCGGACTCATTATTTGTGATGCATCCAATCACCGCTTTATCTACAAACTTTACAATATGACAGCCTGGATGGATAGGTGTGCAGTCATATGTGAGCAGAGTGAACCAGAGGGGGCTCAACACACAGCCCTAAGGGGAGCCAGTGCTGAGGGTTATGGTGGAGGAGAGGGGTTCATTCTGAGTGCAAGGAGTTGATCAACCAGGGTCTGGGGGATCAGGTATTGAAGGCAGATGTGAAGTCCACAAAGAGCATACGGGCGTAGGAGTCCTGCTCCAGACGGGTGAGAGCAGTGTGGACCACAGAGGAGATGGCGTCCTCTGTTGATCAATTCTTGCGGTATGCGTACTTGATGTCAAGATGCTGATTCATGCATCCATCTCCTGCTCCATCCTACCACCACTTGTGAACAAAATGCCCGAATACCCCCACGGCTCAGGGGGGCATTCCACCTAATTCTGTTTGAGAACCAGGTCCTCGGCTCTAGAGGAGCGGTCTCTCATCTCAACGGATACGCTAAGAGTCAGCTATGACCTATATAAAATTATTCTTTAAAAACATAACATTTAATCAGAAGCCTTGAGATTATTAGTGCTCCTATGTGAATTTAAATACACTGCCTAGCCCCCAAAAAAACAAACGTCGCCACCAAAAACAAAGGTCACACCAATATTTTGTTGGACCATCTTGAGCTTTGATTACATCATGCATTCACTGTGGCAGTGTTTCGATAAGCTTCTGCAATGTCACAAGATCCATTTCTATCCAGTGTTGCATTAATTTTTCACCAACATCGTACATCGATGATGGCAGATTCTGACCACCACGCAAATCCTTCAACACATCCCAAAGATTCTCATTGAGGTTAAGGTCTGGACTTTGTGGAGGCCAATCCATGTGTGAAAATGATCTCATGCTCCCAGAAACACTCTTTCACAATTCGAGCCCGACGAATCCTGGCTTTGTCATCTTGGAACACATTTCTTCCTAGAAGACGACGGCTCCCCACTATCCTTCCAGTTTTTAATAATGCGTTGGACAGTTCTTAACTCAATTCTAGTAGTTTCTGCAATCTCCTTAGATGTTTTCTCTGCTTGATGCCAATGATTTGACCCTTCTCAAACAGACTGACATATTTTCCACGACCACACGATGTCTTTCGACATGGTTGTTTAAGAAATGAGAAGCAACTCATTGCACCAGTTGGGGTTAAATAAATGCCAGCTGAAAGATAACCGCCCATGCAGTAATTATCCAATAGGAGGCTCGAACCCATTTGCTTAGTTAAATCCAGGTGGCTACTTTTATTTTTTGAGCCAGGCGGTGCAAGTAAAGTTGTGATTAATACTCAGCTGCTTCCAAAATGAAACACGGGTTGGTGAAGAGGATGAAGGCAGACTCACCTTCATCCTCGCCTGACAGGCAGCTGCCATTTTTACTTTTCAATCTTGCTCTTTCGATCTGGTTATGACATCAAACTGTGTCATAATAAATAATAATAATAAAAAATAATAATAATGAAAGCGAGGCAGCCCCCTCAATATTCCCAAGAGCTACGAACAGATCCTCCATGTTTGTAACGGAGCGTCAAAGCACTCCCCTGCTTTCAAAAAGGCACCAAACTTCCTTTAAATAAAGCACACAGATCAAAGGAACACATTATTCATACACAGCTGAAAAACAGAGCCATCAACTCCATCATCAGGCTTTAACAATCTTCATCAGATGAATACAAAGGTCTTTATTAGCATTTAGAATAATTTATAGCTTTTCTCAGCTGGAATAAATAAGTTGTAAAGATAAAAATAGTTACTTCTTTTCATTAATAATCTTCGTCCAACAGGCAGTTGTTTGGCTTATAAACAAGATTTCTCCAGAACCATTAATAATTCCTACATGTATTTTTTATCAACTACTAAAAATGTATGAAAAGTGCGATTCAAAATCAGATGGGAGGACGTGGCCTAGAAACATGTCACATTTTTAACACCAGTGTTTTTCTACAACCTCAGCGATACGGTTCCTTAAACGAACCTGGCCTACATACTGGGACAAAAATGGTCAACCAGTTTAAAACAGATTGATGCGTTCCATAAAAGAACTGTTCAGCTAATGCAGGTACCAATTTGATGCTCTATGAAAATGTATTTCTTGTGAAGACGACTTGTTTTGGAAAATACCTTGCACTTTAGCAGATTAGCTCACCTGTCAATCAGAGGAGCTCCATGGATACTAAAGCTAAAAAGTCCAAATGTAACTCGGTGAGCTCTGAAACAAATCTGAAGCTGCATACCTCACACAAAGCAGGAAAAACAGACCTCAAATCCAGAGCGGCGTTAAAAATGACTCGCATCAAAGATGGGCCCGCTCCACCTCGGGTGAGGCAAACACCTCCACCCAGAACAGAGTCCTCACCGGAGGAAATTATTGGGATTAAAACAGTTTGTATCAGCAATAAACATGAAGACCGTTTGGAAATGTTTAGCTTTTAACGCAGATTTAATGGCTAATTTCTCACAATACTCGAAGCGCAATTTACTCTTAAAACACAGTTTCAGGTTTTGCTCTGAACCATAAAATGTGAGGAACGAGAGCAGCAGGTCAGAGTACGGTGATCAATTCTCTCTCTGAAGAAAAGGCCGTGAATGTTTCATACAAAGCTGCAGCCTGGCTCAGAGCGCTGCGGACCTAGTCCTGTGGTAAAACGGTTTCTATATTCAAAACGAAATCTTGAACGAGCTGTGGATGTCTGTGCCCGTTCTTTACGAACAGCTGTTGGCTGAAGGTCACGGACGATGCTCGAGAGTACATGGTTCTCCTCTTAAAATCTTTAAAATTTGTAAAAGGAAGTCTCGAGGCGTTTTCTTCAAATTCATTTACTTATGAGCAAGAATATCCAACGTATTCCTGAGGGCTCTGCTGTATAAATGATTCTGGGTACAACTTCCTGTCAGACAGGAAGTAGCAGTAATCATGGTAACGGACCGCGGTTTATTTGAAAGTAATTTGCATTCAGTTTAGAAAATAAAACTGGTTTTGTTTTGTTCACATTTATTTAACAAATGTGAAGTTTACTAAAATAGCCGTGCTGAGTTCAGGTACCTGTTGTGTTCGCGGCTGCACGAACAACCAGACCAAACTAAATCAGTGGCTACAACAACAGAGTTTTGAACACGGACACAAAACAAAAAGAGTGTTCCTGTGCGTTTTCCATCTCCTACCTACAAACGAGGAATTAAGAAGAACGTGGCAGAAAAATGTGAACTTGAAGAGACCAGCCAAAACTCTGTATGTGCTCATTTCACTGTTGACAAACGGCCGACGGAGTTAAACCTACTTTGTGTCTGGACTACAATAAACCACCGGAGAAGAGACGCCGGCTCTTCAGAAGGATTAAAAACAGTGTGACCAGAATATCAGGCATGATTTCAAGTGTATGGAGGCACAGCATTATAATATTTGTTCTTCAGCTTTACAAATTTTCTCTTCAATGAACCCAAGCTCAGTGATGGAGGACTTCAAGACCATGGCTGGCCTGTGTCTGCTTTAAGGTAAATAAGATTGTCCCACCTCCTTTAACAAAACGCCACCGACCTTATTACTGTAGATACTAATACACCTCAGAGCTTTTCAGGTTGTTCATCACTTCAGCGTCAGAAGAACCGAGTCAACGTAGCTAAACATGCTAGTAGATGTAATCTGCTGCCACTTCTTCAGGTCGTCCCATCCCTCGTCCTCAGCAGGCAGCAGTGTGATTATATTGTTTGAGCTCCGACAGGTGGTGTTCCTACACGTTTAAATTTAAATCCACAACGCTCGGAGAAACTACATTAGCTCGTACTGTTTGCACACAAACACCGATTCTGGTCCACGCCGGAAGTTGCACCCATAATTCACACAAGGCACCATGGGGGGTAGGAATAAGGTGGATAAATAAATTTGAACACCTGTGATAATCAACTGGTGGCCCCATGGCCATTATCGGACCACAAGCTTGTTCCAGCCGGCCGGTGATGTTTAAAATAAACAATTTAAAACATGAATTAATCAGACAAGCTTTATTTATACAGCCATGTAGATAAAAAAAAACTTTACACAATAATGACTATTAAAAATAGCTACAACCGCTACTAATAATTATACGCCAGTTAAAAAATTAAACAATTCATGCCTCAAAGCAGAAAGAAATGACTGAGAACAGATAAAAATGTGAAGTCTGATGGAGAGTGAATGTTATTCTGAATTGCGCCGCTCAAGGTGGCTGCATGTTGGAGCAGCTCTGTAACTTTCATTCTGAGATTTTGCTTTTGGAAACTTTAATTCCTCTTTTTCTGGATGTAAATCACATTTTTTGGATGACTGTTTCCTCTGGTATCAGATGCTGTGCAGCTGGAAAGATTTTTACTGAAACTTTTTTAGTTTTGGGCATTTGTTATGATGTGTAACCATGGCAACAAGGCAGTTTTCTACAACCAACAGCTGATTAACATCTCAAAACTCAAATAATATCTCAACTACTGCCCCAAATCTCAGATGGATTGAAAAGGATGTTCTGTGGACGCATTCTCATCTACCTGCCAGCTGTGCTCGAGTGCCTGACCACTGGGATCCTGGAACTAGCAGGAAACATGGCTCATGACAGAGGAAGGACAGGATTGTTCCTCGACACCTACAGTTGGCTGTCCGCAGCGACGAGGAGCTCGGCAGACTGCTGGGAGGAGTGGCCATCGCTCTGGGAGGAGTTCTGCCCAGCATTCGGGCGGTCCTACAGCTCAGGGGAACAGAGGCCAGCCGAGTCTGGGTGGACGGATTGGACGGCATCTGCAGCCAGTTTCTTAGGATCCACTGTGGGATGGACCTTTACAAGAGATCCTTCCTGCCTACAACCATCAGCATCTATAACATCTCTTAATGAAACGAGGATAACGAGTTACAACAACAAATAATTTCCCTTTGGGATTAATAAAGTATTTTTGAATTAAATTGAATTGAGGGAAAACAACTAAGGGTGTCTGTTATTGTGTTAAGATAGTTAATCAGATTTTATTAGTTTTAAAGTTGTGGATGGGATTTGAATATTTCTTCCTTTGTAGGCTTCAACTTTTGGTTTCCTTAGTTTGTCAACCCCGTGATGAGAAGAAACCGTTTTGTGTTTGTTTTTGGGGAAGTGTTCAAAGTTTTAAGTAACTTTCTGAAGCTAAACTTTCCTGCAGGTTTTTCTTTAACATACCGAGTTCCAGCTGAAAAATCTTTCAGACACGCAGCGATTTTTCCTCTTTATTCAAAATAAATATCAAATTTTTTACGGATACTGTGCAGAAACATTTGAATCCTAACTGCATATAGTTCCTGGTAGGACCGTTGTTTCCCCACACATTCATAATTACCTTTGTGAGGTTCAGCTCAAACATGTGGACGTACAAGACAGAATTGTTTTTATTAATAGAGTGTTGCATAAATATATAAAGCTTGTATCTCTGGGACTGTTAGAAACAAAATAAAAATATTTAAAAAATGCTAATTTGAACAAATTCTTATTGAAAAGATACTTTCGATACGTTTGCAATGTATGTAAATGAAATAAGAGAAAGATTGCTGTGAATGATTTTTAAATTAATTTCAATTTAGTCACAGCATGACCTCATCGTGTCTCAAATAGACTGTAAATTATTCTCCTTTTTGTCTCAATCAGTTCCAGTCCCTCGCAAACATAAACGTCCTGTGCATCCTTCACATTTTGCTGCAACAGTAGGAACGCTGAGACGTTCAGGCGGAATATTTTCTCCTCGTTCAGAAAGTGAGCATCCTCCATCAGTTCGCTGATTACGGTAACTGTTGGTTTTCTAATCAGTCGGAGGAATGAATCACTTTAATCCTACCTACAAATTGTTGTGTGAGCATCTTTAATTTTAACAGAATTCCACAAACACGTAAAGCCAGATGATTTACTTAAAAAAAAAAAAAAAGTTGTCAGTGTTTACGTGCTCAGACGGTGCTGGAGTTTGAACCTGCGTGATCTTTACAAATCATCATGGCCGACTTCTCAACCCGAAACCTCATTTCCTCTTCAGAGACGGCCGCTCCAATTTGCCCTGTCACTGGCCGTCCCCAGCGAGCCGAGTGCGTCGGTCTCGATCTCTATTAGCAAAAAGAAACCACAGCGACCGCTGAGCGGAGCATCTCAGAGACAGGCCGAGTATTCCTCATTTCATCTGCTGAACAGGAACAAGAATAACACGGGACATGGCGTCTGTTCTTAAGTGGATTTAGGATCAAACGGTTCCACCTGATTGGATGAGACAGAATTTAAAAGCCTCCGTGGACTGAGATGTTTCCCAGTCTTCACCTGGAGCTGCACTCAGTCTGAGGACGTTTCTGTAGCATTAAAACAGCTTAAACTGTGTACTCCGTAATGCAGAGGTTCGAGGTTTGGAAGAGCCGAGGCAGAGCTTGTTTTAAAGTTGAAACACACCGTGAGTCAGAGTAATTAAAGATGAACAAATGAAGCGCATAAAAACATTTGATTTTGTGTTTTTCACTGAATCAGGACATAAAAGTTCTTTAACTGCTAAAAAAAGGAAGAAAAAAATAATAATTACAGCAGTCCCTCGTTTATCGGGGGGGATCCGTACCTTGAAGACCCACAATAAGTGAAAAACTGCGAAGTAGGAATAGTAGTACAAGTAGTAAGTAGTAGTTTATTTTAGTACTATATATATATATATATATATATATATATATATATATATAAGGTGTTTCAAACCCAGCTCCCTGCCTCTTCTGCTCTTTGCCACCTGCAAGCGCTCTTGGCCACGCCCACTTCTCCACTCTGCAGGAGAACAGCTGATCAGCTGCAGCAGGAAGTTTATCCTGCAATGTTGGCTACACAAAGGTGCAGCAGGTGCTAAATACTTTAAAATATATATATTTTAAAATAAAAATTCCATGCCGATCGTGCGGATCATCCATCAATCAGCCAATTGTGTGTCATGTCCAATCTTATTTTGAAAAACCGTGATAGAGGGAGTCCGTGATCAACGATCCACGGCGTAGCGAGGGACTACTGTATTCAGTAACGCAGAGATTCGAGGTTTGGAAGAGCCGAGGCAGAGCTTGTTTTAAAGTTAAAACGCACCGCGAGTCTGAGAGTAATTAAAGAGAAACAAATCAAACTCATAAAAACATTTTATTCTGTTTTTCACTGAATCAGGACATAAAAGTTCTTTAACTGTAAAAAAAAAAAATACAGTAGTGTTTGCTTTTTCCAAAGAAGGGGAGAAAGTGGAATATGATTACAGGAAATAAGAAGCACACATGAATAAGGGAGAAGGGGAAAAGGTGTTTCATAAATAATGTATAAGAAAAAGGTAGAGTGCGCGGCTGACGCAGCAGCTGCCATGTGGTTTCATTTCCAGCTACATCCATTTTCCATTTCAGCCGCAAGGTAGACTGGCAGCAGGCGGCCGATGGGCGGGCCTCGCACCAAGCAGCGATGATAAAGTAGCACCAGTTCAATCTTTACACCTGGAGGATCAATCACCCACAACCCCTCTGAACAATGAGCCTAATGCAGCTTACACAAAGTGAGGAAGGGCCGAGAAAAAACAAACACGGGAAAAGAAAGGAGATTCATTTGGGTCAGCCGGCAGCTCTCCAGGGTTTCATTGCTTACTGAACGGTTGTGAAGAAGCTGTCCATCACCCAGAACACAATCAGCAGCGCGCAAGGCGGAGGACTTAATGGCTGTTTCCACATGAAGCACAATTTAGCGACTGGGATAGTGGATAGCTTCATCACGCGCGATGGGATTACGTTCAATTGTTATCTTTAACGGGTGCGATGCGACGGTCAAGGAGTGTAACGTATACGAGCGGGGGGAGACATTAAACGGTAATCTCTCCACAGCTCTCTCACAGCCAATCAAGCCGGCTCTCGTTGCATGTGTTTTTGTTTTTTTCTGACCCAGCAGACATATCAAGTAGCACTTAAACAAATAGGCTGCTGCTGCTGAAATATGCAGAGCCGTGCACTCTCCAAGTAAATTAAATTAGCTGCGAGCTCAGTTTAGTGCATTTGTGAGACGGGACACATAAAACGGTTGTGCAACGGATTTATGACGTTTGGCTGCAAAATAATTCCAAACTACAGAGTTGAATCCTTCCAGTATTTAAAAAAGGAACAGTTTCCTGCAAATCAGTAGTTTGTGTTGTACCCTCCACCCCCTCAGGACTATAGAGGCGGTATCTCAGAGGGCTAAGATTAGTTGGTGAGCAGCTCCAGAATGTCTCCATTTACATGATTTCCTTACTTGAGTTGCAGACGCCGATCATCGTCATTTCACAATTCAAGTGGCTCGATAACTTAGTTTGAACACGTTAAAAAAAAATGTGACGATATCTAAAAATAAAATAAAATCATTCTGGGTGTCTCAAACCTTCCTGTACTTTGTCCCAGGCATCTCCAACCCGTCTCAAAAGCAGCAGTTGTATTTTGAGGTGCACAAAATGGGCCGAGGGGAGCACGATGTGGGCAAAGAAACATTAAACGACACCAAGAATACAGATTTGCAAGTTGTGAAAACTAAAATAAGCGACGATTTAAAAAAAATGGCCGCTCAAAACACAGCTGCACAGCTTACCTGTCATTTAGTCACAAATACTCAGAGTTTAGTGATAGCAGCGGAAAATGTTCTCATTGAGTCGCCAACCAGTCGCAGTCCAGTGAGATGACACGTTGAGCCAGTCACAAACTGCACCTTAACCCCAGCATCCCCTCAGTAACGACTGCTGCTCCTCTGAGCGCCGACCCTCAGAAGATGTGTTTGAGATGTTTGATGCCGTAAGTCTTGAAAAACACTAGAAGGATTAGAGTCCACAGGCCCAGGATGAAGCCGTCAGGAGGGTGCCAGTCTTTCTGCTTTGGTTTCTGTGTGAAGGGGGAGGAGGGGGAGGCGGGGTAATGTGAGGGGAAAGCAGAGGGGATCGGGGTGAGATTGCACTTCAGTAATAGCGAGTATATTTCTCCTGTTGAGGCCACCGCTGATTGTTCTGTCATTCACACAGGCAGGAGCATCACACACACACACACACACACACACACAC